GAAGATTATTAAGACATCCAGGAACTCATCCTTTTGCACACTCTCAAGGGATGCTTCCTGCCTCTATTTCTACTGAAGAGACGTGGACAGCAAGGGAGGCAGCCTCTCCAGCCTCCCACCCATCTTTGCTCCCTGCCCATTGCCTGATGCACAAGGGATCTGAAGGGAAGCAGGTTTGTGATTCTTGACCCCATCACCCATTTTGAGGCAATAAAAAGGAGAGAGAGAGAGAGAGAGAGAGGGAGGGAGAGAAAGAGGGAGAGAGAGAGAGAGGTGAGGTGAAGAATTGGTAAAGAGATAATGGAGAGAGAATCATCCTGCTGAATCCACTGCTTTAGTCAGTGTGGGAACCCGGGGATGCTGAACCTGTAGGTGGGGCTCAGGGAGAACTGACTCAGCCTTAGAAAAGCTAAACAGGCAGTCATGGACTCAGGTGTCTTTCCTGCCTGGTGCCTGGGAGAGGAAGTGATGGCTGGATAGTGCCAGGAGCACATGGCATAATGTGTTTGGCCAGAAGAACACCTGGCCTGGGTGTACTATTGTACATATTAGATGCCCAACATATTAGATGCACTCCACGCCCCCCAGGACCGGAGTTGATAGAGTTAGCAAAGGAAGTTTCTCAGAGGAATTCCATTCCACACTACATTTAAACAGGCTGAGTTTTAGCAGTAACTCGTGTGTTCTGCTTCCTTCCGTAACACTGGAAGACCAGGTGTTCTTCTGGCCAAACACATTACCAGGTGCTTCTCAGAGTACTGGGGCAGATTTATGGCATCCTGATTCTGTCGTCCCCATCTCTTTCTGCCCTGGCTCCCTCCACCCTCCACTCTCCACCCATGGGCTGACAGTGGAGTCCTTCTAGTTTGATATGAAGGAAGGGCAGATGGGTAACGATCTAGAGTAGGGGTGTCGAACTCAATCAGAGAAGGGGCCAAAATCTAAAATCCAGCCTAAATCGCGGGCCGAATGGTTTACTAAACAGTCATAAACTGTCATTGTGATGGAAACGCAGCGGAGTGCAGTGATGACAGCGTGGTGCGGGCCACATTGCAAGGCCTGGCGGGACAGATTTGGCCCGCAGGCCTTGTGTTTGACACATGTGATCTAGAGGCACTTAAAAATGGTTGTGTAGATTCAATATAGGAAATGGATGGTGGCTTCAACAACCTCCTTGAGAAACAAAGGGAAGGTTTCTGCCCTCCCCACCTCCCCCCTGTAAGACACAAAGCACACTGAGTGTCTTGGGAAGGGGTTGATAGTCTTCCTCTTGGTGTCTTTTTGGAATCTCCCAACACCCGGGGCTGTTTGTTTAGCTGTGTTTTCCTTTTCCTGAGGCTAAGGGACTTTCCCCTTCCTGAAGCAAGTACAACGACTGCAACCTGGGCTTGGGGAATCAGAGGGAAAAGTAAGCTTTGTGGTCATTAGGAAGCTAGACACTGGTGAGTGACCTCTGAACATCCGTACAAATGGCCACTTGCATTAACCAAGGCACAGGAGAAACACTGTGATTTGGCACTGCCACATGAGGTCATACTAGGTGAAATGTCAGGAACATTGAAGATATGCATAAGGAATGTCTTTCAAATGTCAGTCTTGCAACAAGTTCCGATTTTCTCTGCTGTGTCAATGCTTTTCCTTGTTTCTTTTTCCTGGGAGCTAAAGATGATCCTTTAGCGTCAGATTTTCCTGTCTTCACTCTAAAGGCGATCTGTTAGACCCCCCACCCCTGTCCACCCCCAAGTGCTGAGATGACTTTTAAATGCATTTGACCAACCCATGAAGAGTCTTTGCCAGGAAAGGAAGAACAGAGGGAGGAATGAATGAGAATTCAAGTAGGAGCTACACACATTATTGAGCTTTAAGAGGTTTAGAAAAATGGAGGAAAAGAAAAAATGAAATGGAAAGGGAGTGAGTACCTGTGTCCATTTTCTCCCTGAGGGCACCTTTGAGTAGTTAGCATGGGGCTCTGGTCAGAGGCTTCTCTGAATTCCAGCTCCATCTGCCACTATTAGCTTGGGCCAGTCATTTCAATCTCTCTGTGCTTGGTTGCTGTATCAGTAAAATGAGGCTAAAATAATATTTACCATAGAGTTGTTGTGAGCTTATTTTATAAGTGGTATTAAAGGGTGCCTATTGCATAGTTGGTGTTATATATTTATTAGCTACTGTTATTTCCTCATTTCTAGTAAATTTCTTGGGTCTATAGAGATGTGAGGTGGGAAAAGATAATGTAAAGAAAAATCAGGTCCAATCCCCAATGGGTTGTTGAGCAATACTGTATCACAACTACATTTTTTTTTTCATCCAATTTTTTTTTTTGGATAGCATTATATAATTGGTTACAATAATGCTGATGAGAACTTGAATTTTTTTCACTCACTTATTCATGCATCTGTGATTGTTTATTTGTTGATTATTTATTTGAGTTAGGGCACAATGCAATCAATTTACAAACCTGTAGAGAGCAGAGTATATTCCCCTTAGGAAATCTACAGTAATTCGGCTAATGGTATAAACATCTAATCAGAATTATTATATTTGAACTATTCTATTAAATCCCCATAAATCAATCACAAATAAATTGTCTAGGAAAATATTTTATGAAAAAATTAAGTTTCTATATTATGAGATTGATATCTCTACCCACACACATACACACTGGTATATGACATCAATTTTCAGACTATAGATGTGTTCACATACCTCTAGTCACTCTGAGTCTCTACCCATACCTTCCTTTGAAATTACCTGCCATTTTTCTTTCTGTGTGAGTAGAGGCTCCTTGTTTCAAGCTTAGATCAAACACTTTCACCTCAGGTCATTCAATCAACATCTACTGAATGCCTGCTATGACCTAAACACTTGGAGTCTATGTTGGGCAAAACAGTTTACAGATTATAAATTATATGGATTCTGATCATAATTTTCAATTTCATTTTTTATGTTTTTTAAACCCACATGTTATGCCTCTTCATTTGCCATCTGGGATTTACTGAGATGTATGAAGCATGTAGTCACTTTTCAAAATCTAATAAAGGACAGATTTTCTTCTGAATATTTAAAAAAAAACATTTCATTGCAAGGACAATAATGCATTTTTGACTTGGTTCTTCTCATGGGCTCAAAAAAGGTTCATGTGTTCCAGGTTTTTGAACTGCTAGCAACATTCTATCAGGCTTCCCTGTATACTTCAGAGAGGCCACTGATGGATATACCTGATGGTAACTGAAGATGTCCAATGACTGGAAGTGAATAGGATAATCTGGTTCTGTGAAAAGAGAACTTATTCTTTGATCTGAATCAGCCACTTACTCCTCTGGGCCACGATTTTCTCATGGTTAAAATTAGAAGTTTGTCATGGCAAAAATTAAATGACCTTCGAGGTTATTCCCAAATTACTAGGATTCTAAATGAGTCCTCCCCTATGGGGCCACTTGCCACACCTGGCTCCCAGGTACTTGCTTCATGGCTTGTAGAATTGAGATGTGCCATAAATAAAAAATACTCACCAGATTCTCAATGAGTACCAAAAAAGGTAAAATATTTTGGCTATAGTGGGTTAACAATATGATTAAAATGAACTTCACCCATTTTTGTAGTGTGGTTGTAGAAAATGTAAAACTACATTCGTGGCTTGCATTAACAACATTGGGCAGCATCACTCCACACCTTCAAAACAAAGGGATCAAATTCTATTTTTAAAGGCCTTTAATGTTGAATGGCGAGTGTTTCAATTTGTGGTCCTTATGCCTCTCAAAGTCAAGTTAAAACACTACCCCAAGTGAATGAACCTTGCGTGGGCAGATATTTATCACCTAGTTCCTCTTGAGGTTTCTTTCTCTCAGGTCCTGTGAGAGTCCTATGATTACAACACTCAACCGTCAGCCCCTATGGTTTTGCCTCAAGTAGATCATAACAGATAATCAGGAAATATGCCAAAATGTTATGAATGATTATTTCTGGGTAATGGGGTACTGAACAATTTTTGAATTTTTAAAATTCTTTTCTTCATCTTTCAATCTTTTAACAATGAAGACCATTATGTTTCTTCATTAGAAAAGTGCATATCTTTGAATTTCAGCATGAATGGTTTATAAATTGTATAAACATTGCAAACGTGTAAAAAAGAGGACACTTAAAAGGAAATATCCTAAAATGCTTTAATCTGCTTTTCTATATTTCCAAACTTTCTATAGTGAATTGGTTATTTCTGTCCAGGGACGAAATACACCTTATTTAAAACTTACACTATCCATCCCCACTTTTAATCTTCAACCTATGTTAATTTGTGGGCTGGCTTTCTCAGAACGCCTGAAGCTATCTCTACTGTATTAAAGTGATGAGTAAATACTTCAGATTTTTTTTTGTTTCAATCTTCAATATTTTTACAACTAATACCAAACAGAACAGTATTGAGTTAAGTGTTTATGCAGGAGATGGGGAAGAAATCCCATTGGTAAATTAATATGCCGCATGTACAGGGGTTTATTTTTTTATTTTATTATTATTTTTTTGTATACAGGGGTTTAGATTGTACTGGGAAAATGCCCTTCTAAATGGGTGTCATTTACATATGAGTCCTGGGGTAGCAACGGAGAGCAATTTCTTGCATGCAGTCCAGACCAGTACACACACACACACACACACACACACACACAACACACATGCATAGGCATGTGTGTGAGGGGTGTTGTGCCCTATCTCAGTCTCACTGAGCATCCCCAACAGCTGCTTTTCTCACCGGCCCTCCATTCTTGAGGCCAGACCCACCCCCCTCCCAGCTGCAGGTAGCCCGGGGCGTGTGCAGAGCTGGTGTCAGTGTGTGGGCGGCAGGACAGAGCCAGGTGTGCTGACTCTGGACAGAGCTGGGCTTCTAAAGGCCTATCAGGTGTAATCGTTTAACCTGGAAATTTTTTTGGTCCTGATGGAATTTTCCCCCCCAACTCCTACAAGGCAACAGCCCTTTTGAATACGGCACTATTGAGCACAGAACTTACTGTTAGTAGAAAAGATAACATCTCCCTCCTGCGGGGTGGGGTCTGTATCCTGGACTACCTGCAAGGCTCCCACAGTCCGGACAGCAGGGTCCAAAGTGACTGAACTTTCGTTTACAGTCGTGTCGCTTGCACCTGTGATCTGGTTGGTCGGTGGGCCTCCCAGGGACCCCTCGTAGTCGGTGGGCAGGTCATCCATGCAGTCGGCATTGGGCTGACAGGAGTAGAAAAGAATCTGTTCTCAGTGTGTGTCATCAAGTTAAAAGCAAAATGTCTGCAACCTAGATATTTCACCCCAAAGGAAAACCAAGTTCTTTACTGCTTTCATCCTGAACCATTTTATTTAAAAAATTTCCCCATAAAGTTTGTAATGAACAAAAAAACATTTTCCAAAATTTCCTTTCCAAAGGTTCCAGTTTGATTTACACACAAGGTTTTAATCCCAGGATTAGCAATATAATTACATTAAGACCGATGCATTATTTGCAAATACTGATGATATGAGAGGTGGATAGAACTGAATTATTCAACACACACACACACACACACACACACACACACACACACACACTATAAGGTGAGGCTATTTTTTTGTTGTTACACATAAGCTAAAAAGCTGCTATTGAAAAAAAGCCCTATTTATTTAACATGCAATTGAGCTAAATGAAAATCTTAGAATCATGACACTAGAGTATAATAAGACCATGAAGTGCAATTACCCATCATTGCAGGACTCTTTCCCACACTATCCACTTCACAACATAGAAATGGGAGCTCTCTGCTTTGCAAGGCAGCCTGCGTTGCTCAGCTTTGCTAGATTATTCCACTATTGGGGAACGTGGCAAATTTTACTCATTGGTTTTAGTTCTGCTGTTTAAAGTGATATTGATTATATTTATATCTTTTCCACAAGCAGCTTTTAAAATGACTTTCCATTGTTATACATTCACCCAAATTCATAAGAAAGGTGGTGTTGGAGAGAGATAGGCTTGAGAAATACTAAGAATAGTTATTAATTATTATTACTTTTGCTCTGTTCTGAACATCAACATCATCCTGAGTGATGATGATTAAGTGGTTTTGCACTCCCAATGGATAAAGAACAAGGTGTGAAGGTGGGAATTCTGGGTTGACAGTGATTATGCTGTGTTTAAAGTTCATTAAAAGAGAAAATCTACAGCTCATGGACTCATTGGGAGCAAAAAGCAAAAACTCAAAGTGCTGGACTCTTGTCCTAGTTTTCTGCTATTAAGCCAGTCTTTTGACCACCAACCTATATTTCCAACAGCTAGAAATCTCCATCACCCCACAAAACCCTCAAATTCAGCTCATTCCTTTTTTTCTGTATTCTCTCTCTCTCTCTCTCTCTCTCTCTCTCTCTCTCTCTCTCTCTCTCTCTCTCTCTCTCTCTCTCTCCTTCTTTGTCTCTCTTGGAAGTGAATCAGTTCATTGAAACTCAAGTTGTTGAAAGTCAATTCACTGAATGACTGAACTGTCAAAATCACTGATTGAGGCATTGATTATGAGCAATTATGCTACGAACATTTCTCATCCCATTACTGGTCTCCTAATCTCTCTATAGTTTCCTCCCGTACATCCCATTCTCCACTTCCTCTTTTTTAAAAACACAGGTATGCTTCTTCTTTTCTCCTAAAGAATGAATTATAATCTTAGCGTGGTAGAACAGGCCTCCTACAGCCTCTCCCAGCCTATTCTTCTGGCCTCATCTCAGCCTTTGGAAACACATGAAACACCATATATTCCCTGTCTCAGAGCTTGAGCTCATGCTGTTCCTCTGCTCAAGGTGACATTTGCCCCAACCATCCAGTTCCCCTTTCCCATTCCAAGTTCTCAAACTAACCCTCCTGGGGAACTCCTAATCACTCCTTAATTCCAAGTCCAAATGTCACCTTTTCTAAGTAGTGTTCCCTCCCAGGTAGCCATCCCCAGAACTATAACATCTTATTCTTACTTCTTCCATGCTGTTACGGGTTACTGCATTTTCTCACTCTACTAGGCTGACTTCTTAAAATTCCAGTTTTATTAAGATACTAGAGGCCTGATGCATGAAAATTTAGGCAAGAGTAGGCTTTCCTTTCCCTCACTGCCGGGACCAGCTTCCCTCCGGCACCCAGGACCCAGAATGGATTCCCTCGGTCCCTGGCTTCATCAGGGAGGATGACTGGAGTGACATCTGGAAGACATCCGGTCTAATTAGCATATTACCCTTTTATTATTATAGATAGTTAACATGTACTATTGTATTGTAATAGTGTATTAATTTAAGATGTACACATAGTGATTTGGTATACTAGTATGTATATATTGCCAAATGAGCACCACAATCAGTCTCATTACTATCCATCTCCTCACCTAGTTACATTTTTTTTTTTTGTGATTAGAACTTTTAAGAGCTACTGTCTTAACAACTTTCAAATATACAAAACAATGCTGTTAACTATAGTCACCAAGTTGTACATCCTCAGAACTTATTTATTTTATAATTGGATGTTTGTACCTTTTAACCACCTTCACACGTTTTGTCCACCCTCCACGTTCTGCCCCTGGAAACCACTTACCTATCTGGTCTCTCTTTCTGTGAGTTCAGTTTTGTGGATTCCATATATAAGTGAGACACAAATTACTTTTTTAAAGTAACTCAACTACATTATATTGCTCTGGAATCACATAGTGCCTGACAATTAGTAAGTGGTCAGAAGATGTCGGTTTGAAAATGTTATCTGAGTCTCCGTTTACTGCTCTGAAAACTTGGGAACGTTAGAATCTGCTCTGCATTAAGAGAGGATTTGAGAAAATACTTTAAAAACTGACAAGTTCTGTCCAAAGGGTAGCTACCCCTAAATATGTTGGCATAAGGATTATTTTGAACTGAAATAATTGAGAAGTACATAAAGAAATGCTCTCTGTCCTTCTATGTGCATAAAAGCAGGACATACATTAGTAGACGTGTGCCCCCTCTATATCAGGAAGATCAGAACATTCTTATCACCAGTGATTGGGAATTGACTCTGAAATGGATCTGCATGAACAAACCTTATTAACGTGACCTTATCTGCCCTTAGTTTCCCCAAGACAGTTACCTCCTCACAATCTGCTGCTCTAGAAACCCAACATTCTTTTCCCTTGTCTTGCTGCTTCTCTAAAATTTCATTACTTTTTTTTTGAAGATGCTATATAAGCTCAACTCCTAACCACCTTTTTGAGTTACTCATCACTAAGCTTTCCCATGTGTAGGTGTGTACATGTGTTAATAAATGTTGGCTTGATTTTCTCTAGTTAATCTTTTATAAGTTTAATTTACAGGGCCCCAGCTGGAGAACCTAGAAGGGTAAGAGGAAAAATAATTCTTCCCCCTCCCTAATACCATGTAAAGATGCTTCTAAGCAAAACCTATTGTGTTGGGATATCAGGGAGGAAAATGTTTCCCAGTGAGGATAGTGAGAGGTTGTTCTTCAGCCATAAGCACCTAAATGCAATCATGTATGTGATAAAAACTGACGTTTTTCAAAATTTTGTGTTTGCTTGTTAATATTGTTCCTTTATTTAAAAACGTATTTTATCAATTTTGATGCAGGGTGTTGGCCTTTACTTTGTGGAATAGTAAGAACAGTGTTACATCTTTAGTAGAGGAAGGAGAGGAAAGAGAAGGACAGATTAGCTCACTGAGACTGAGTGTTAGCAGGCATAAGTAATTTGGGTTAGATATAATATTGAATACATCAGCCTTACTAACTCTCACATAGATTATATTCACTCTAAATGGTTCATCAAATAGCAAGTTTTGAAAAGAAACTCAATTTACAATCATATAAGATGAATTATCATAATAATGTTTAGTAAAATATGTCAAATATCATCTGAAAGTGAACAAGTTATAGGTCTTCAAATTCAGGTTAGCATGGGGAAATTCATCAAGTCAACCAACTGCCAAATAGCTCGGGATTTGTGAATATACCAGTTACACTATCTTTGCCTTCAAACAGCCATCCTATTCATGCCTGGATAACAGTGATGGGAGAAGGTGTTTGCTGGGATATGAAAAGCCCAGTTTATATGGTATATTATTGGTGTATTCACCGAAACCTGTGTTCTCTCATCTTACAGGACACCTAGTCCTGACTGAACAGAAAGAGGCTGAAGCACCGTAATGTACATAAAGAGATGAAAACACTTCTGACAATAAAGGACACCCCCCCACGCCCCCCTACACACACCTCTCACCTCTCAGTTCAGTATTCTGTTTCTCCTGGTAAAATATAATTTAAAAATATGCCCATCATAATGGGAATTTCATGAGCCCTGAGCGGTGCTTTTATTCTTTAGTTCATTTTAGAGAAATCCACTTACAAATGAAAATGTTTCCAGCTCTTAGCTTCCAACTTATATTTATTTGCCTTAAAGCACAAGCAGCCACCAGGATACTCAGTTAAAAAACAACAGAAATAGCCAAAACCGGTTTGGCTCAATGGATAAAGTATCGGCTTGGGGACTGAAAGGTCCCAGGTTCGATTCTGGTCAAGGGCATGTATCTTGGTTGCGGGCATATCCCCAGTAGGGGGTGAGCAAGAGGCAGCTGATTGATGACTCTCTCTCATCGATGTTCCTAACTCTCTATCTCTCTCTCTTCCTCTCTGTACAAAATCAATAAAATATATTAAAAAAACAAACAAAACAAAACAAAATAAAAACAACAGAAATAAAAACAAACCAAAAAATCCTGCTCTCTGTATGTTGACTAGTTCATCCATCAGGATTACAACCAAGTCGTTGGTGAGTGGACATTGATTAAAGAGGGATCAGGGTGAATTTCGTAAATTATGATTCTGGGACTGGCAGCCTTCAGACTCCGAAGGGCTATGTGTCACAGACATTTACTGAGCAATGAGCATATGTAAGGGACACAGAGATGGAGGACCAACAGGCACCAATTACCAGAGTGACAGGCTCTTTTTAATTTTCCTTGATTGAGAAGAAATGGAGTATAGAAGTTTAGGAAGATCGTAAACCAATTCCTAAGCTGTATAGAAAGGGTTTTCAGTTAGCTATAGAAGTGTTTTCTAGCTAAGAAGGCTGCAACCTTGGCCCATGACATGGAAAGTTCTAAGAATGGAGTAAAAATTTTGTCTCTTTGGCATACTTTAGGCATGGTGCTACTCATTGATGGAGGATAGAGTGGAAATAACAACCAAAATTTTCTCAGATCCAGACTTCAGTATCACCCACCAGGACAAAAATAGAGGAGTCTCAGGAAGCCACGGGGGCAGAGTGAGGGGGAGTCACAGGCCTCGGTGCTGCTGAGAAGTGTAATCTACCCGCCTTCCTCATGGAGGATGTGCTGTTCTCTGGGGCGAGCTTGGCCGGGTGTCACGTTCCTGTTTGCCTGGCCTTTACGAATCCTTGGCAAAACCCAAAAGATGCCACCAATGTTTATTTTCCCAGAAGCCAAGCATGCTAACTAAAATCCTATCCAGATTTGATAGGTATAAACCCTGGCCAGAAGGCCCACCTGCTAAAAGTCACAAAACTATACGTTTTGTAAATAAGCCAAATGGCCACCCAATATTGCTCTTTTAGAAACAACTAATAGCTGTATTCTCAACTCATTTACAAGTAGCTTCTGGAGAAATTGTACCTTCCCAGGAAAAGTCTGGAGTCAAATGTTATTTAGTTAAAAATTTGGCTTCATTGTTCTGAAGTAGGAGTATTGGAATCAATATTGAGGAGCTTTGAAAGTATCCTGTGCAAGCGATGTGACGACCTCTAATTGGGAGTACATATTCTAAAGATGTCAGAGACCAAAGACACACGTACACACTTGCAAGCACACATATACATACATTCCCCCCTCCCTTGTAAGAACTAGTTACGGCCAGGAGTGTGAGAAGTACAAGCACTGAGATGAATTCCTAAGTCACCAGTACCTGGTAGAGATGTTGGGTTTTAACTAATGGCTCATGCTCACAGTAATTGATTTTCACCTTGACTACATTATGCATTTACAACTCTGGTCTGAGAATTTAATGCATTGCCTTTCAAAATCTAATTCAAAGATACAGTCACGCCAGTTGATTTGTTTCTGGTGCATCAACCACGAAAATCAGCACTCAGCTGGCACAGAGGCAGCTGGTACAGGGGAGAAATGTCAGCCAATGCATAGCCTCCTAACGCTCAAGGTGTGCTCTCTCCAGCAGAGTCCCTCTGATAGTCCTAGAATAATGAGCCCTTCCGCATTAAAGAAAACCTTTGATATCTGACCTGCTCCTTCCTCCTCCAGTGACATCTTGGGACCATTAACATTCTCTTTATTCTCTGCCATTAATGTAGTGAGGAGTGACAACAGGGAGGTTGCAGTACAGTGTGGGGGAGGGGGAGGCCAGTGTCTGCCTCCTGCTTGTTTAGCTCCTTTTAGCTGGTGCCTGTGTTTTTCTGACATCGCTCTGTGCAGCCCTCGGATTGGGTGGCCTGGATGGCTTCCTGCCCTCACATGGTAGCTGCTGTCTCCAGCCACCAGTCTGTGGGCTTCACTTGCCATGGGCCTGGGAAAGTCTTTCCCTGGAGTGTCAAGCCAGCCAGCTGGTAGGATTCTCTTTGCACTGGCAGAGAGATCCGGTTTTATAAAACATATAATAGAGACACCAGATGGAGGGGGTCACGCTAGAATGAAGGGCTTCTGGCTCTGGTGTCCTGCTTGCTCTAGGTCTCCACAGATCTGAGTTCAGCAGCGGCTCTAAACCAGGTTCCCAGCAGCTGCTCTCCCCCACCCAGTGTTGGGAAGAGCCCGCTTCCTCTGAAAGCTAGGGGAATGGGGCATGGTCAGAAAACGTGGCTTGAGACCTCTGTGATGACAGTGCAGGAGCCGTGACACAAGAGGAAATCAATGCACAACTGGCCCATGGGGCCTCTGCTGGTGACCCGCCTGCATCTACTCACTGCAGCCTGGAGGAGAAGCTGCACAAGCAGCACCTGGACTCTCAGACACATACAATGGACGTGGGGAGAAGGTCAAGTGTTTTCAGACATGGGCATTCCCTTAGGGCCTCATCGGAGGACGCCCGTGGGGTTGAGGGGACAGAGGGAAAGCCAGGTGTGACGTATTCTCCCTGCTCCAGGGGTAATGCAGAAAGACAGACATGACGAGGCTGTAGGCTGTGCTGTGCTTACCGGGATCCCTAGGGCTTTAAGAATGTTCATCTTGCACATGGGGCAGGTGCGATGGTCTAGGAGCCAGGGGTCAACACAGGACTTGTGGAAAAGATGCCTGCAATGAGAACCATACAGCTTAGAGCGGCGGCAACTGCAGAGACTCCCTAGTCCACTAGGGCCCAGACGCGTGTCCAGAGTCACTCAGCTGCTCAGTGGCAGAGCCAAGACTCGAACCTCCATCTCCTAACACCTGGACCGATGTGCGTTCTGTCCTGTCATCCCCTACGGCGGTGCAGCCAAACTCTGTCTGGACCCCAGGAGTGCCCTACAGAACTCCAAGTTTCAGAAAGTGTAGAGACAGAGAGTCATTTCTCTTTTTCAACAGAAAACATGTTTACTGGAAAGAACACGAGGAGAGAAACTCGAACAGACCTGTCAGGGTGACTTGATAGATACTACGTGTACAGAACCCCAGACTTTCTTTTCCCACAGTCGGAAGACAACTGCAAAACAGAGGCTTCTTTCCATTAATAGTTGGAGGTCTGACATAAAGGAAAGAGGATATCCTGGGAGCATTTAACAACACACATGGCCTTGTTAGTTGTCAAGGCTGCTGGTTGTCAAGTCAGAAGCCAGAGTGAGAGGGGCTATAACCTTTCCTGTTTGGACAGATGACGTATGTGCGCAACCCCGCTCCATTCGCTGGTGCCAGGTCCTCTGAGCTTTTATCTGGGGACGGGCTAAGGGGGCGTTTGGAGGATGCGGCCTCGAGGGCGTCTGACTGAACTGCCTCTCCCCTTGGCACTCTGTCAGACACTGTTGGAGTCAGAAGCTTGTTTTCTCACTCAAAAGACTCCAGGCCACGGGCAGAAGCAGTCAGACGTGCCTGCCTGGGGCAAGAAGTGAAACTGTCTGTCTTAAGGGTGAGGGCTTCCTCAGGACATGGCATCCATGCCTGATGGTCTCTCCTCAGGGGTGCCCTAAACCTGGAGCACTCCCACTCTCTCTCTTCTCGTTCTTCTCTCACTCCAACAATTCTCACAAAGTTCTTGGTGTTAGACGGCTTTGGGCCAAGTGCTTAAAAAGTCCTCCCTGCCTCAAACGAGAGAACTGTGCAGGAAGGGGCTGCCCTTTCAGTTGAACTTGGGCAGTTGCCGTGTGCTAAGGATGGGATTAGCTGTATAGAGGATATGATCAGATTGGTGATTAGAAAAAAGGAGAATGAAAACTTAGATGTGTCACTGTGTCTGCAGATTACTGTTTAGAATGCCCTGCAGATGCACTGCTTGGGAGGCATGTATCTCATTCATTCATTCCCTCATCCACGCCTGCGTCCAACAAGTAGTGTCTGCCAAGAATTGTGCTCATTACCGGGAGTTGGCATAATGGAGATTTAGCCTCTTCCCTTAGTGAGTATAACAGGAGAGGCAGACATGAATAAGATAATAATATAAAATAAACGGCTTAATGACACCAGTGCTAAGTACCATGTTAGAAGACAGGAGTGGGGAGGATTATAACAAGGAGAGTTTCCTGATGAAGTGCCGAAGCTAAGACTGGAGGGCTGCATAGACATCCACGTGAAGGAGCGGGGAGAGGAAGGAAGGGTATTCTATGTAGAACCACTGGCTGGACAAAAGCCCTGAGCTGGGCACTGGAAGAAGTGGTCCCAGCACAGTGAGGGAGGAGCTCAGCTGCCTGTACAACCATCCCTCTCCCCGAGATATCCCTCTCTCCCTATGTTCAGGTTCTACCTTCAGGAAACAAGTTCCTAACCTGACTTGGCTCACCACCTGGTGTTCCTCCTGGGAACCAAGTCAAACATTCTGGCCCCTTTGACAGGCCCTGGGTGGCTCTGCTGTGTCTCCTGAACACAGACTGGAGTGGGAATGAGGGCAGGCTCCCTCATTAGCTGTTTTAGCTTAAAGAAGTCACTTAATATCGCCAAGTCTCATCTGCCTCATCTGTAGGTTGAAGATCTACTACTCACATGGAGAAGACTTCCCTGAGTATCCAATCCACAGAATGAGTGCTTCTTGCCTAACACTCTGCATGATTTCTTTCCATTCGCTGGTCTTACAGCCTCTGTAATGGTTACGGTTAGTGCTATGTGACAACTGGGTCAGGCTATTCAACCAAAAACTAATCTAAGATAGTCTGTAATTACGATTAATATGCATAATCAGTTGACTTTAAATAAAGGAGATTATCCCAAACAATCTAGGTGGGCCTATTCTAATCTGTTGGAAAGTTTTAAGAGCAAAACCTTCTTAAGAAAAGGCATTCTGGGGCAAGGAGGCAGCATTAACTGCTGTGCAGTTTTCAGCCTGTAGCCCTGCGCTGCAGATTTCAGACTTGCCAGCTCCTACAGTCACATAAGCCAACTCCTTAAAAATATATAGTGGGACATCATGTTTGGAACCCTGACTGATGTATCCCCCAATGAGGAGATTACCTCCATGAGAGCAAAACCCCCCTTTGCCTTGTTGACGGTTGTATCCCAGCATTGAGAATAGTTTCTGAAAAACACATAAGAAATATTTGCTGCATTAGTGGGTATTTATCAAAGGCCTGGTACTCCTCACTGCCTGCACATGGTCAGGCCACCCAGTCCCATGGACCCACTCTTACTAAATTTCTTTCACATTCATTGCTTTTCTATTCTCTGTGCTGTTCCCTCATTCATAATCTCATGACCTTTTTCTCTGTATTATTCCACTAACATCCAAACTGGTCTCCATGCCACCAGTCTTTCCCTACTCTCTTCATCCCACTCTTCCTTGCCAGATTTATCTTCTTAAAATAAAGTATGAGTTACGTCACCCCCTTGTTCCATTCTGTTCTGTGCTAGGAGCTGGTATGAATTTGAATAAGACAAGGTCCCTCCTTCAAAGCAGTGCCACAGCCCTCAAGCGGTTCCCTAGGAACTAAAATGTCAAGGCCATTGAAAGGTCACTCCTGGATCCATTTTCTGACTGTTTGATCTAAGGCACAATCTGAGCTCTCCAAAACTCAGATCCTCAGTGGTGAAATTTTATCTTATAAGTATGGAGTTTGCAAGTGAATAAGTGTGAGTGTGTGTGTGTGTGTGTGTGTGTGTGTGTGTGTGAGAGAGAGAGAGAGAGAGAGAGAGAGAGAGGGAGAGAGAAAGAGAAAAGAGAGGGAATAAATAATGCTCACAAAGCTTAAATCATAAGTCTTGGCCCTCCTTAATTGTAAACTACCATTAATCTTATCAATTCTACTATTGCATCTTATTTTATTTACTAGAGGCCTGATGCATGAAATTTGTGCAAGGAACTTGGTCCTTGCAGCCTCAGCTTTGTCCAGAAGATTGTCCAAATGGTCAATCTGCTGTTCTGTCTAATTAGCATATTAGCTCTTTATTATATACTAGAGGCCTGGTGCACAAAATCCATGCACAGGTAGGGTCCCTAGGCCTGGCCAGTGATCAAGGCCTTTCTTCCCTGGCTGCCAGCTGCAGGCTAGGGCCTTCCTTCATTCCATGCCATCTCCTGATAGTCAGCACACATCATAGTGAACAATTGAACTCCAGGTCAAACTCCAGAGGGAACACTTTGCATGTAAACCTTTTATATATATATATATATCTATATCTATATCTATATCTATATCTATATCTATATCTATATCTATATCTATATCTATATATCTATATCTATATCTATATAGATATAGATATAGATATATAGATATAGATATAGATATAGATATTTATTTATTTTAAAAATTCTCATCCAAGAATATTTTTCCATTGATTTTTAGAAAGTGGAAGAAAGAGGGAAAGACAGAAATATCAATGTGAGAAAAACACACACATCGATTGGTTGCCTCCTGCACATGTTATGACCAGGGCCTGGGCTGGCAAGGAGCCTGAAACTGAGGTATGTGGCCTTGACTGGAATCAAACCTGGGACTATCCACTGAGCCAAACCAGTTAGGGCTGCATATTGTTTTTAGCTGTTGTTATTACTCTGTATTCTACTCTTCAGAATGAACTTTCTAAGGTTGAATGAAAGTAACTCAAAATTTTAAAAAATCATGGAAGAACTAAGGACAAAAGGAAATGCTGAAATGACTCATAGGGTGATCATGCTGATCATTAACAAATATTTCTAGCATCATATTTTTTGTTAACCATCAAATATTAAGACTATAATTAGACAAGAGGCCTGGTGCATGAAATTCATGCATGGGGGATGGTAGTGTGTCCTGCAGCTGAGCTTGAACCATCTCCAATCTGGGACATCTCTCTCACAATTCAGGACTGCTGACTCCCAACTGCTTGTCTGCCTGCCCCTAACTGCTTCTGCCTGCCAGCCTGATCACTCCCTAACCACTCCCCTGCCAGTTTGATAGATGCCTAACTGCTCCCTGCCATCCCGATTGACCCTAAATGCCTTCCCCTGCTGGCCTGGTCACCCATAACTGTCCTCCTCTACTGGCCCAGTCACCCCTAACTGCCCTGCCTTGCCAGCCTGGTCACTCCTAACTGCACTCCCCCACAGGCCTGGTCCCCACCAACAACCCTCCCCTGCAGGGCTGGTCCCCCGAACTACCCTCCCCCGAAGGCCTGGGTCCCCCCAAATGCCCTCCCTGCAGGCCTGATCCCCCCTAGCTACCCTCCTCTACTGGTCTGGTCATCCCTAACTGCCCTCCCCTGCAGGCCTGATTGCCCCCAACTGCTCTCCCTTGTAGGCCTAGTTCCTCCCAACTGCCCTCCCCTGCTGACCATCTTGTGGTGGCCATATTGCGTCCACATGGGGGTGGCCATCTTGTGTGTTGGAGTGATGGTTAAATAAATAAAAGAATAGGGTAAACACTGGAATTTAGTGCAATGCACCACCAGTTTACTAAACATCTGTAAAGCAGAGTCAATCTCAACTCTTCCTATTTGTGCAATTCTCAGTAGAGCACTGTCCCTTCCCATGTTTTAACAAAGGCTGGGTGAGGAAATACATCAGAAGAACAAGATATTCTATCTCTTAACAATCCTGACAAATTAGAAGTACAACAGGGGGTTGATCAAACTCTTCTTCCATATTCACCAAAGGGTAGCAAACATTTAGAAATTCTTTAAACACCTCACAAAAC